TCTCATTCGTGCTTTGAACTTGTATAGGTGTGTAAGAGGTATAGCAACATAGTATTTATACGGACCCAGGGTAGCTACAATTCTGTTCCCAGGTATGGCGTGCATGAGGCTTCAAAGCTGTGGTTTTCAAGCTACATTCAAGGTGGCCTGAGACGAGGGTTTGCTGCCCTAAAACACTCTGTTCAGGCCACCTGGTAAATAAAGGTGTAGTTCCTATTGAAGGGTATATGTCACATTCAAGCAGCAGAAGGACAACATGCATCCTCTGCTCTCGCTTCGCAGACCGTCATTTTGAAGGTGGCCTGAACAGAGTGTTTTAGGGCAGCAAACCCTGGTCTCAGGCCACCTTGAATTTAGCTTGAAAACCACACCTGGGAACAGAATTGTAGCTACCCTGGGTCCGTATAAATACTATGTTGCTATACCTCTTACACATCTATACAAGTTCAAAGCACGAATGAGACTTCGAAGCTGTGGATTGCTGTGCGTGTGTAGAGGTTATCGAGCGGTTGACGGAAAGGGAACTTGAAGTACTATACCTGGTAGCTGCACTATAGCTACCCTGGGTCTCTATAGGACCGCATAGTGGTCCCAAAATGGAAGCCGCCGTAAGCCACCACGAGTCATCACAACCACAACGCCTGGTCTCAGGCCACCTTGAATTTAGCTTGAAAAACTTTTTCTTTGAACAAAAGGGTTACCTATGTGTCGGCAGAACAAGACATGAAGCAGATTTGACACGCGGCCGCAAGCGGCTGCGCGAGCTCATTTGATTGCTTCGACGCACACTTGTCGAGAAAGGGAAGCGCTGGCTTTCGTTTTGCAGCTTCTCAGGTTCAAACTCTGGGAGAGCCCCCCGAGTTCGACCTCGGGGAAAAGAACTCAGACAAAATCCATTGGGTTTCTGGGAGGTTCCCCCCTTTTTTTCAAATACACATCCCAAATCGACTCACCCGGGCGCATTGGTGTGTGTATGGGTGATTGTGGGTGATTAGCCACGTCTTCTCAGTCTTTTGAGGTAGAGAAAAGATGAGAAAAGTGACTTGTGGACCCCAACGTGCCCTTCTTGGTTGTACGGGCCCTAAGTCGTTTGGAAGTCCATTGAGTTTGTTTGAGTGTCTTCTTGCTTGGATCATGGGATGGAGCCCACCGGCTCAGCCGTTGTGCGATCAGAGTCTTGTGACCTCGACCGGAATCTTGACCAGACACGACTAATGGGACCTGAATATACAGTCTCATTGACCCCCCCCTGGCACCACCCCGCCTGTTTGGTGCAGAACACACACGTGCCGCACGAAGAAAACATCCTCACTCCTCTTCTGCAAAAATTTGCGTCCGGTACTACCACACACGTCCACCTTCCCCATGTCGACATGCATCAAAGAAACCACCGCCCGTCCACCGTGGTTCCCCGCGGCACCTTCCGATCCCATCGACTTGCCCCGTGGTCTCGTTCGACCGACTCGACCGACTCGACCGACTCCCCGGTCTCCGACTCCGACGCCGATGACGCCCGGAGGGCGGTGGAGACGGCCCAACCGCTCCGCGAGAGACGGTCCAAGGTGCCGAACCCCCAGGAGTGCGGTGGACAGGGAGGCTGCCAGGGCGCCACGGTGGAGCTGGGCATCGCCTGGGCGGTGCAGCGCCTTGGCATCGGCTGCCCATAGGGAAAAGAAAAGCGGTGGTACGGGAGGGCTGGTGTTCTAGATGGGGTGGGGGAGGTGGGGTGCCATCAGAGAGAGTTAACATGTTCAGACGTTTTTGTCTGGAGGGATCTGGATGGGTCGTATATACCCGCACCTGACTGGATACAGATCACCAAGGCTTCGACCTCCAAGCCTGGCAAGCCTGGAGACCTGTAGAGGCGCTGGTCTTGTATGGTCCGAACCGTAGAGTCCGGTTGACCCTGATTGTGTTCATGGGTCCGCCGGTGCCATGACCCACAGCCGCTATATAGCCCTATAGGGATCCGTTTTGGTACCTTCTCAGGTACGGTTATTGGAGACACTGTGATGTAGGTTCGGAGGGTCCAAGTACCTGAGAAGGTACTTGGATCCCTACTAGGGTTAGATTGTTTCTTCTTCTCGCTTTTGGGCATGCAGGACCAGGGTCCGACCGGATCACCAGCATTTGCTGCAAGCGCAAGCCAAGCTAACCATCCAAGGATGACGCCACCTTCATGCCCACCAGGATGGTTTTAGTTTTATACATCTTTTTTACATGTGTTCACCACCCTCAAGGGATGAATCCACGAATCCCACCATGTCCGACCTCGACCAACCACACGGTCTCCCCGTGGTCCGACCTCTTCGGCTTCTCGCTCCTCTCGACCGAGCTCCGATGACTCGAGGAACGGCTTGAGCGAAGAGCAGCAATTGCCCTACACCGCGGCCGATGGGCACTGCCAGAAGACGTCCTTCTTGGAGAATAAGGCGCTGGCGATCGCCATGGGGGGTGGTCCCCTGTAGTCACGTCGTCATGGGGGTACTTAGTGGATGGTAGTGGTAATTCGGGAAAGAGATGGATGTTGGTTAGTGAGAGGACAGGAGAAAACGGCTATGTGTGTTGTTAGTTTTCATTTTGCAGACTTGGTAGCTGGATTGGGTTTCACAAGAAAAAGACAGGTTGAATTGAATTTGATGGACTGCATTGGGGTTGTGAACGCTCCATACAGTTGCCAGTTCAGATATCAGATATGAGGCGTACTAGGCCTGAGGCGTACTGTTTTCAGTGGCCACTGTCTTCTCGACGTGACTAGGCATGTACATGCATTAAACTTGGAGGGGTAGTTACTCCGCATCGCAATGGGTTGATAATAATATGCCAGCACACCATAGCACACCATAGCACAAATCTGTTGCTTTCGATGTTGCGAGTCCATCGATCAAGCACCATTAAAACGCATATAACAGCTCCGATTGGTTGAGTTGATGGTCGACGCCCTCGCTGATTGGTTCGCTCAAAGTTCTCAAAGTCTCAGACTCTAAGTGCCCAACTCTTTTTTAAAGTTATAATCAGAATCGAAGGGGTTATAGTTATAGTCATAGTTATAGTCATATAGTGCCCAACTTGTTTTGAGTTATCCCAGACACGACCCATGGGACTGCCATATATGCCGCCCCATTGACCCCCCTGGCACCACGCGACTTGCGGTCCCGGTTTTCGTCACGGCCTTTCATAGGCAGTGAAGTATAGTCATAGTTATCATCCCAAATGGCGAGGAGTGTAAGATATAGAAGGAATGATGGCTCCAACCCGATGTTTAAGTCTGCTAATGTCCAGGTGGCGCAGGTGGTGGGGGGGGGGGGAGCAAGCAGCCACTGTTGACCCACAAAGCACTCGCATTCAAACCTAATGGCCCAAACACTCCGTGTATGGCCCCACATTGGGTTGGTTTCAGAAGCCCATGTATATATATATATTAGGCATATATTCCCCAGGACCGAAACCAAGTCTGGAGGTTTTGAATACCCGGAATAACATCTAAGAGGCTATAAATTGGACACCTCAAACAGATCGGGTCCTGGTACATGGCATGGGTTGGAGTGTTTTTGGAGTGTTTGGGTGTTCTGTGTAGTCCAACTGCCTCAAGATGTGAAGAGCGGACAATGACGTGCGTTCACCTCGGTGCGGGGGTTGGCAGACGGACACACCCCATCAGGGCTTGCGCGGCTCCGTCATGGGGGGTGCATCCTTCGGTTTGTGCCTTGGGAAGATGGGCGGTCAGCGTGTTCCCACGGTGGAGATGTGGCACCCCGAGTGGAATCCGGGCAACTCAAGTGCACGTCCTGTTTTCAAGTTTCAATTGTTCCCCCTCTGGTGAAGGACGGCACATACTCCAATATATGCCATAAATAAAAGGGAATCCTCTTCCATCAATGCATGCTACATTCACTGGATACTTCATGGTTTTGCAATGTTTGCACCTACTATGCTAAAATGGTTGAAACTCGCGCACACACAACTCAACTCACCCGGGAAAACCGCAACCCAGAATCTTTCCAAGTGATCATGGTGGAGGAGTGTTAAAGCCTAGAGGATTCAAAGTCATAGGAGGCAGACATCCCTGACATGGCAGTGCCGCGTTCAATGTTTTTGTTTGGCATATTATCATACTATTGTTTCTTTGTTCATCTTTGTTCATTTGTTTGTTTTGCACAGCGATGTTGGTTGTTGTGAGTCATGGCAAGAATCAGAAGGGCAACACGCTCTTGCCAACATGGTGTGTCCAACGAAACACGCTCCTTCACTTCAAATCACCCCTTCGAATCCAACGACAGAGACAGCAGATCAACTGACCGACAGCAGATTCCGCTGTGGCCGACAGCAGATTCCATGTCTGCTGAGGGCCGGCTTCCACGTGCTGCCCAGCAATAAGGAAGAGCCATTGGCGCGGGCACTTGCAGAGCTAGGCCAGACCTGATCGTCGGATGGGGAAGGAGGGAGTAACTTCCAAAGGGTTTGTCGTTCTCTCTTTGGGAAGCCTTTCACTTGGGAACCTCCGAATGAAGGCACATGTGTTTGGTGTTATCATGTTCTATCCATTTTGTTTCCCAAAGGTTTTCAGAAAAAATCGTGCATTTTTCTTGGTCGGGCATTTGGTTTGCTGGTTTATGTCATTTCTTTTTTTTAAACGAGGCCATTGAGTGGGGGGGTCAGGACCAGGGCTCAACATCACCAATTGGCTGGTCATAGGAGTAGCTCGCCCACCCTTCGGGACGTTGCGTTGCTTTCGGAGGGAAGCGAAGGACGCGAATTGGATCAGTGAGGGAAGACACGGTACTGACCAAGACTGACCAGACTTGGGTGTTTGTTCTGTTTTATTGGATAGTTTAAGTCTTATTGTTCACGTACTTGGTACTCATTTGTTCTGTCTTATTGGATAGTTGTAGTTTAGAAGTTCCCACAGTTTCTGGAAGTACAGGGAACCTGTACGTGAAATTGGTTGCTTGACAGTTGTGTTTTCTCGGTTTTGGAATTCTTGGAACAGAATCTTTTCTATTTAACTGCACCACAGAAAAAACAGCAGATATAGTATCAGGGACATCATACCTTGACTTTCCACATGTGACGCGTCCTCTGACATCAAAAACCATGGGGCTCCGTTTGCTATGTGTTGCTTAGTGGGAAGACGTTTTGTGGTTCCACCCTGGATGAATCCTCCCAACTGAAAAACCATCCACACCTGGGTCCCATCCTCCAAACCCCTGGGAGGATGAAAATACTTCCACTCCCGGCCACACGGAGGACCTGTGGCCGTCTCGGTGGCAGCGAACAATTGGCTCCTCGGACTGAGGATCGTTTGGAGAATGGACGCCATGAACCAAAGATGACAGAAGGAGTGTCCAAAAGGGGATCATCTGGGGTCCCAGGGAATTCACTCTCTCTCTCTCTCTCTGTGTCTCAGTCACTCAGTCACTCACTCACTCACTCCCTCCCTCACTCACTCACTCACTTACTCACTCACTCACTCTCTCTCTCAATTGAAAACAAGGACCTGAGACAAGACCTGAACCCCAGAACAGAGGTACCAAACGGGGCATTTGAACAAGACCATGAGGTACAGCCGACAGGAGAGTCCAGCTTGTTGATCGCAGGTGGTCATGCGGGCGATATGTCTTTTTCTAGTGGGGTAGGCGGGTTTTGTCCATTCTTTGATTTATCAAGAACCAGCCACTCGATAAGTATATAGATATAGATATCACCGCAACTGTGACAGGTGAAACGTGTCTAGGAAAGGTCTTGGGTGCCTACCGACCCAACCAAGCTAGAAGGGAACTCCCCAGCCAAGTTTCCTCGTTAACCGTAGGCAGTCTTGCGTAGGCACACTTTTGTTGTGACCTCACCAGATGAGATGGTCCACAGAGGCTGGCCGAGAGCCAAGTGACTATGGCTGAGTTCTGTCCAGGAATGTGCACTGCCAGCATGGCCGTGTTTGTGCTAGAAAGACTTTGCAGAGGACAGGCCATGCCTTTCATGTGGACACAGTCCTTGTGACCGAAATGGTCACATGGAAGTCAAATGCTTGCCAGAAAGTTTGCTCTGCATGTGGCAGCACGCCTGGATTTTTCACAGCCACTGGGCAAGCAGCGCGTGATGCCAACCCAATCACATGCTGTGGCAGCCTTGGCCATTGAATGTGATGACGTTAGCCAATGCAGCACCACGCCAAAAGGTGTTTTAGACACCGCTGGCAAATCTGGGCGATCCTTCTTGGAGTTCATAGAATACCTCAGACGGCTAGGCCATAGTCAAAGGCCTGCCATCATCGTGGTTGAATGTGTTGGGAACTTGCACCACTTGAGGCGGGTGAAGGAAACACATGAGCGAGGAACTGCCTTCGTCTCTGAACAGTTCTCCACCTTTGGCTACGAAGGCAGCGGGAAATCCTGAATGCCAAAAGCTTTGGAGTTCCACACTCACGTTCACGCGTCTATGGCGTCTTTGGGCCTGAAAACCATGCAAAGGCAAAGGACGAAGTTGCCAGCATGTGGTCTTTCGTTTCCGAGGTTGAACCTCTTGGGCATTTTCTGACCAAGACGTGTGGCATTTTGGACCCTGCCAACAAGCCAAGCATGACGAGTTTTCTTGTTCAGACTTCTTTAAGAGTTGTTCATGGGTCTTGGGGAAAGACAATTTTGGTTTGTAGTTGTTTAACTTGACTCTTGCTTGCAAATTCCAGTGGAACACAAGGAAAATGAACTGTGGCATGGCTACAGTGGATGTTTGAAGTTTGTTTGTCGAAGCTATGGGGCACATAAGCATGTCCAAATCCACCTCTGAGGTGATTCCAGAACAGTAAGGGAACAGTCTTGTGAGTTCGCCTGCGGTATGTCTGTGCTTGATGGTTACAATAGGTATTGGACTTACCATCCAGAGGTAGGTCTATGAAAAATGATTTGCAGTGATGAAAGTGGTGAGACAAAACATGTTTTGGATTCACCAAAGTGACATAACCATGTCACATCTCCAAAACATGGATTTTGGCATTGGCAAGACATATTTGCCACAGCCATGGATGGGCGCATGGGTTTTTGAGGTCAAAAGCTTGATCATGCTTGGTCTGGCACACTGGCTCTTGAGCCACAAGTGTGCACACCCTGTTGGTACCATTGTTGATGGAGCAATCTGAACTCCGCACTGCCCGACAGCTTACACCATCCTACACCATGTGAGCAGCCGGCTAAACTCTTTGATTCCCAACAACAGACACATTCTCGCGTAGGCACTTGCGGAAGCAGCGTGTAGGCAAGAAGCTATTGGCTGCTGCTATTGCTTGGCTTCTGCTTCTCCTGCTGCTTGGCTGCTGCTGCTGCTGCTGCTGCCTCGTGTTTTCTGCTGCTTGTTTGCGGCTTGTTGTGTGCTGTTGGTGTGCTGCTTCTGTGCTGTTTGTGTCCTGCTGCTGCACTGCTTGTCTGCTGTTTTTGTGCTGCTTCTGTGTTGTTTCTCTGCTGCTTCTGCGCAGTTTGTCCGCTGCTGCTGCTGCTGCTAAATCTTGTGTGCTGCTGCATGCTACTTGGCTGCTGCTGCTTATGTGTTGATGCTGCTGCTTCCACACTGTAATTGGGTTGGTTTGATGCAAAACTTGATCTATCTATCTGGCAATCGGTAGAAAAAACTGCAAACGCCTTGTAAACAGGAACCTGATGTGACCCTTATGTGACCCGTTCGCATCGGGCCACTACTTGCGGATTATATAGCTCTTTTTGAGTCACCTGATGTGACTAAAGTTGGTGACAGTAGCCTGCGTAGGCATCCCGCGTAGGCATCTAACAAAGAGAACCTCTCGCGTAGGCATTTGCTTGAGAGGGGAGCCCAGGCGTAGGCACCCGCGCAGGTACAGACCCAGTGTATTAGCCCCATGCCACAAAAGCACAACTCATTTGCAAATAATGCAATGAATGAGCAAACCTTACCAGCAAGGTAGAATCTAGTAGAAAGACCGTTCGTCCCCAGAGTATTCATATGACGAATATTTGCCTATCAGTTGAGCGTGTTTGAAATGTTCTACGGGTCCATGTAGGTAAATCGTCCATACATCCCAGACCTGACCATCCATAGGCCTGGAAGATACTGACCTACATGGATATGGATCAACATGGGATGTCCATGTATGTCACTATTCTTGTGCCATTTGTCTGGTCATACTGCCATTCGTCTTGTTGGTGGTCCAATGTTCATCCCTTTGCCTGGTTTTTGCTCATCAGGTGACGTGTTATTTTCCCATATTTTCCCTATTATTCCCTATGGTCTAATCCCCGAACTTGGGGAATAGGTTTTGTTTTTTCCAGGTTCCTGAAGCAAATCCAAGATATATATCCCTCCGATGTTGTCGGTTTGGGAGGGCTGGGTCTCGGACCTGCTAACAGCCCGGGTGGATGCGAGTAGACTGAATAGACCTCCTGCGCAGACTGAGGGTGGGACTGCGAGAGTGACATGTCATTAACCCCATGAGGCTGACTCTGATGGAAGCAACTATTCCGGTCCCCTGGATGGTCTGGGTTGTTTTTTGATTCCCTACTATATATAGACCTGGCCCGTGACGGGTTGGTGACTGGTTACTTTGAGGTTCAACTACTACAATGGCGTCTTCGATGATTGCGACAACATCGTGAACCATGCGGTGACCCTCTACGGCTATGGCAAGTGGGGAGCTCTGATGGAGCACTGGGTCGTTCGGGAAAGACACCAAGCTGAGAGACGTCTTTGAAAAGGGGGACCGTTCGCGGGAGGATGGATTCATGGGACTGGAATATCGGAATCTATGCCACCCCATTGACCCCCCTGGCACCACTGATCGGCATATATACGTCTGGAGCGTCTGGGAGTTGTTTGTAGAGAAACCATGGCCATCCACGAGGCCGATGTTCCGCCTTTCATCATGCTTTTCAGGGAGTGTAAGTGGTTGAGACGAGGAAGCAGTCTGCGTCCTGATCGGCTGAAGTCCGCAGGCAAGGGGCCGACAAGTACTGGCTGGTGAAGAACTCCTGGGGCCCCGATTGGGGCGAAAACGGTGCCGGGGCGTCACCCAGGGGGTCGGGAGGGTTCGGGGTTGGGGAAATGAAGGAACATCGATCCAGACCCGTCTATTTGTTGGGCCAGGGGGAATTCGGGCTTTTGAGGTTTTCAGGCCTCTTTCCTTTGGTTGCTTGGGGGTCGTTGATGTTCTGGGGCATTCCAACTGCTGAATCTGCTGACCGCTCGGTCGCTGGGTGATTTAGAGGCCGCGGCGACACGAAACTCCATCCTGGAAAAGAAACATGCCGACCTTCGCGATGTTCGCGCGTGAACACCAGTGAAGGTACATCAGTGATTAGGGAAATCACTGCTGAATGGAAACCGCGTCACGCGATCGACGCAGCCTTAAATCCTGAGATATTAGCGAGTCCACCAGAGCATCGCGCCCGCCTCGCGAACGGCTTATCAAGTACCTTGGATGCGCTTGATGTGATAGTACCTTGGATGCGTTTGTGCGTGTGCACTGGTGAGCGCGAAACGTCTCAGGTGATCAGGGATCATGCCCGGGCACGCTGCAAAATGGCAGCGGAGATCCTCGAGATTGGACAGATCCCAGGACCGACGTGAACGCGCTCTGAAAACGCCCAAGTACAAACTCATTTTTCTCTCTGGTGAGCATTGCTTGCTGATTTCTTGTTGCAGGTACGCTGTTCCACATCGACGGCTACCACTTGAAGCCGGAGGGGGTCGTCGCGCTCGCGGGGTCTCTCGCCCCTTTGACGGAGGCTGGAAAGGGGTTATAGTTGAAAACTCAGGCAGCGTAAGTCATGTGTTAAACGCACTTTGAATTGAAACGTCGTTTTCTCAGACATGGTTCTCAGCGACCCGTCTTTGGTGGCAGTTCGCGATCCTCTATCTCAGGAGCGGGGTGAAATTTCTTTAACCATTCGCATGAGTGTTTGAGGTCGTTTCATGTCTTTAACTCTCCGCTCCGTCCAGGATCGCGATGACGGTGCCATAGCTGAAGCGTCGTTTGGGCTGCCTGTCTACCCGGCGTGGGGGAAAGGCTTCTCCAACGACGCGTTTTGGTGGCACTTATGGTCAGAAGCTCCGCGTCGCGGCGACAGGATCGCCCTCGTGGTTGCAGGCAGCTTGGCTGAAAATAATGCACTATAAACGGCAAAATGAAATTCGTTTGAATGGCTTCGTGTTGACGTGTCCTGAGGCAATGACTTGTACTCCACGGAGGGCGATGGTTATTTAGAATGGCGCATTCAGCGGCTGGAGGCACGGGATTTTGAAGACGAAACGCGCGCGTACGTTTGACCGAAGGCTAACTTTCAATCATTATGTTATTTTGTTTTTGTTCTGTTTCGATCTTCTCTCGATGCTCGCTTTCCCCCGCAGGCGTGGTGCGATGAAAAGGGGATTAAGTTGTCTATAATCGACATCATCCCCCAGGTGGACATCAACAAAGCGGAGCCAAAGCGCTCCTAATTCGTGCACGGCGATCCCGTCCATTTGATGACGGCTAAAAATTTGCAAGCGCGACGCTCAGTCTATTTATTTTAGTGCGTTCCCTAGCTAGCACGATCATCCTACCACTATCTTTATGTAACGTCACGGCTTTGCATGATCAGTCCATATTTCTCTATGATGTTCTTTCTCTTGGCTTTGACTTTGATGTCTTCTTTTTGCTTTTTGCTTTCCCATTTTTAAGGCGACCTGTTGACTACAGGCATTCTATTCCTTCCTTCTTCTTCTTCTTCTTCTACCCCTGCCTCTTTTTAGGACAGTCGCCTCGCTACAGGCATTTTATTCTTTACACCGTTTTTCCATGTAAACGCTTCATGATAATGTAACGGCGTCAATTTAACATGTGAATGTGTGCGGTATGCATCATGATCTGCCAATGGTTTGGGGCTCCGTTTTGGGAGCGAATGGATTACGCCGCCCCCGCCCCCACATATGACCGTATATCTAGATCCCTTCACCCCAAAACGGATCCCCAGGCCAAAACTTTTGGCCCTGCTAGCGGTGCCACATAACTTTTGTCCCTGCTAGCGGCTCTGCTACATAACTGTTGGCCCTCCTTTCCTTTTCCTTTTCCTCTTCCTCTTCCTCTTACCCTTTCTCTTCCTCTTCCTCTTCCTTTCCCTTTCCTTTCCTTTTCCTTTCCTTTTCCTTTTCCTTTTCCTTGTCCTTGTCCTTGTCCTTTTCCTCTACCTTTTCCTTTTCCCTTTCCTTTTCCTTTTCCTTGTCCTTTTCCTTTTCGTTTTCCTTGTCCTTGTCCTTGTCTGGTACCATTACTGTTTGGTACGACCAATGTCTGGTACCACTAATGTCTGGTACCACTAATGTCTGGTACCACCAATGTCTAGTACCACTAATTGATCAAGCCCGCAGGGTGTGCTTGCAACAAGCGCACCCCACAGGAACGATCAAATCATTACCTCGTAGCACAGATTCCTCTTCTACAGGCCCTCGTAGCACAGATTCCTCTTCTAAAGGCCCTCGTAGCACAGAATCCTCTTCTACAATACCATTAATGTCTGGTACCACTAATGTCTACACAACTGTGTTGATTTGACCACCTGGTGAAAGAATACCCCTTTACTATGGCGCAACATATTTACTAGGGTGTTAACATACACCAAGCACATGTCATGATGTCGCTGGTACTTCTTTGTCCTCTCCTTTTCGGTTCACTTGAACCGCATCATTCTCTGACTTTTGGAAGTTTCACAATATATAAATCTGTTTTCTGCACTACTGCTTTCTCTAGGTCCACTGGAAGCTCATCATTCCAGGGACTTGAATCGGTTGGTCGCCCAGCTCTCTGGCCTCTCAAGCCTGTAGATCACTTGAGGTTAGGCGGTATGATAACCAAAACCACCCTCGATGGCCCCCTGTAAGCGCTGAGCTCAGATTATACATATAGGGCTGAGAACTTGTTATATGGGTGGTTTTGGTTATCATACCGCCTTAGCAACAGTAGACTGCATGTGAAATCGACCACGCATCCGGTGGTCGCCCAGCTCTCTGGCCTCTCAAGCCTGTAGTTCACTTGAGGTTGGGCGGTATGATAACCAAAACCACCCTCGATGGTCTCCTGTAAGCGCTGCGCTCAGATTATACATATAGGGCTGAGAACTTGTTATATGGGTGGTTTTGGTTATCATACCGCCTTGGCAACAGTAGACTGCATGTGAAATCAATCTCTGACTTTTTGGAAGTTTCACAACATATAAACCTCTGTCTGGGCCTGAGGAAGTTTCACAAAATATGAACTATTTTCATTAAATCCTTTCTTTATTGTCAATCTCTCTGGAGCTGGCAAATTGCCCCTATGTGCATTTACGGACTTTAGGCCCGAGAAGCCACAGTGACCGTAAATTGTACCCAATCACATAGGAAGCCCAGCTTAGCCAGCCATGTGCACTTACATTGCAGCAGCTGGGGGTGTAGGACATCTCCAACTGCAGACGAAGACGAATTCCGAAGACGCATTCCCGAAGACGAATTCCCCCCGAAGACATTGATGGATGATGGCCTGCCTTCACCAGGGCCCACAGGTTCCGACGGAGCTCCCTGGGGAGCTCCCAATCTCCTCCATCTGATAAAAAGTTGTTCACCCCGGAGAACTATGGGGGGTCGATGGGTTTTGATACACAGCCATGCAGGCCTATGCCGTTGTCTTGCTACTGGATTCCATTAGATACCATGCCTATCGGTCTGTAAACAGGCCATTTTAGTGGACCAAACCCATCAAAAAGCCAGAGCTGAATATGACTTCTGGGGCATGTGGCGTCAGAGTGCGGCGTCAGGGGGGAATGTGGCGTCAGGGGGAATGTGGCGTCATTGATGGATGATGGCCTGCCTTGACCAGGGCCCACAGGTTCCGACGGAGCTCCCCAGGGCACTCCCAATCTCCTCCATGAACCTGTGATGAAAAGTTGTTCACCCCTGAGAACTATGGGGGATCGATGAGTTTTGATACACAGCCATGCAGGCCTATGCCATTGTGTTGCTACTGGATTCCATTAGATAATTTGCCTATCGGGCTGTAAACACTGTTCAAACGTGCCGTATTAACCACATTGGGGTGGGTCAATGTTGGTATAATATCCCATACATTGAGTGTTTTGGTAACCAACTCGGAGTGACCGGTATGTGTTGTTTCGGTGCAAAATCCGCACCAGAATGGAAGACCGTGAGGGGTTGGCAAATCTATTAGTCTTGCCGGACTTTTGTATCGAAGTTGGGATCCCCTGCCACAGAGCACCACACTGAGAGGAGGTCATTCTGTTGACATTTTCCCGAAGGCTCCAAGTACCTCCTTAGAAGGTGTTTGGACCCTCTAAACCCACCCCAAACACCTAAGAAGGTCCTTGGAGCCCTAGGGTTTGGGATGTAAAAAGGTGATCGATGGGTGATGGCGGTGATGGGGTGATGGTCATCACTCAGAAGTTCATCACATCACCCAGCCTATGCTGACATCACTCATACCGGGTGAGGCTCACCAGAAGGCTCACCAACCTCTTACAACGTTTTGGCAAATAAGCTACAGGCTCTTCAGCACTGTTCAAATGAAGGTGGAGGGTGAAAGACGTCTTCTTCTTATCCCAAGGTGTGCCAACTCTTGTGATGTCTACTGGACTTAACTGGCGCGTGTTTCTGTATTTTTTGGCCTAGAACTACATCTAAACTTCATTATTCTTCATATATGTATATATAGAACAGTTGCACCATCTTCAGGTGAAAGAGGTTCTCATGACCTACATCATCCAACTTCGTTCGTGTTTTGTCGTCTCAGTTCTTCTATTACTTGTGTTGCGTCTGCCTACACCTGTCACCCGTTGGACAACTGAGTTTACCCAGTGGTCCCTCTTTGGAGTCTGGAGGCTTCCCATTCATCGTCCGCTTGGCCCGGTACAGGGTGGGTTGCTGGTGATCACCAACAAACCACCACACATGTGGATGAAGAGATTCACCACCAGTTAGCGTCACGCTCACCACGCTGGCGATTCCGGACATGCCACGGCACCGCCGCACCAAACACCCGGCGCTGTGGTTTCAGCCGCAAGAAGTGAGGCTTCATCCGCATCTTGCGCCACAGCAGCGAAGACACCTTCTGTGGCATGGACACCGATCCCTCCAAAGGCGTGGACACCTCGTGATCTGTGAGTCCAAACCAGGGCACCCTGGCTGACAGTTGACACCTGGTCGAACCGTGGAAAAGGAAGGAAGTCCCTTGGATTTTCGGTCATGTCACTTACTTGTCATCCAAGGTGGACATCATGGTGGAAAAGATATCATGTCAATGAAATCCATGGTGGAAAAAGGAAAACACATCCTTGTTCGGGAGGTCGCTCCATGGGGCCTTGGTGGGGAGGGGCCATGACATGGTCGGAGCACCTGGTCGGATCAATCTTCAACATGACATCCCCCCCTTCCAGGCGACCAATTGGACGATGCAGTTGACCTACACGGACGGAAATCAACCAGGCCAAGGTATCTATGTCAGTCCCTTAAGCCACTTAGTGTGTTTCGGAAACTCCGTTCTATGGCCGATCACGGCTCCTGGCGGCCCCCCTCCGAAATAGGACCATCACCGCTCCTCCTTTCCCCCAGCAGTTTGCGTCCCAGACACGACGTGTCTGGGGCTGCCATGTCGGACGTGCCTTCAAAACGGCCCAGGGGTGGTTGTTTAGGGGGGTCTGTCTGGGGCGGCAGTCCGGACTGGCAGTCCCGTTAGGAGTGTATATGATTTGCCACTGCCTCTCTTTCCACGCCCCACTTGCGGAACGTCCCGGTCGGCCCTGTCGGTCTCAGCGGTTTGGTCTCCGCCGGTCCGGTCCGGATGTCGGCCAGGTGTGGCGTGCAAGGGCGGGCCCAAGGAGGTCGAGGCGAGACACGGAGCCCGGGCGAGCCGGATTGGAGTTGGAGCCGGTCTGACACGGGGGATGTGACGGATCGCCCGAGAAGGGAGAGAGATGCTGGCAAAAAGAAGGAGAAGGAAGAAGGAAGAATGAAGAATCATATCAAGAAGAAGGAAGACGGAATTATGAAGAATAATAAGAATAAAGAAGAATGAAGATCAATAAGAATAAAAAGAAGAAGGAAGAAGGACGAATGAAGAAAAATTATAAGAAGAAGGAAGAAGGAATAATGAAGAAGAATAAGAAGAATAAGGAAGAAGGAATAATGAAGAACAATAAATAGAATAAGGTATAAGGAATAATGAATAATAATAAAAGGAAGAAGGAAGAATTAAGAATAACAAAAATAATAAGGAAGGAATAATGAATAAGAATAAATATAATAAGGAAGAAGGAATAATGAATAATAGTAAAAAGATGAAGGAATAATGAAGAATGAATAATACTAATAAGAAGGAAGAAGGACTAATGAAGACAAATAATAAGAATAAGGAAGAAGGAATAATGAAGAAGAATAAGAAGAAGGAAGAAGGAATAATGCAGAATACACATTAAAAACACACACACACACATCACAAACATATGTTTTCTTGCAAAGAATTCAAGATGTGAAGAGGCTGAAGAGGTGAGAGATGGGAAGATGTACAAAAGCACGATGGAAGCGGAACAGAGTCAACATATGATAGGCGACTATGAAGCCCACTACAGGGACTTAATGATGGCAAGGTGCCCCATTATGTCATTATGTTTCCACACCTGCAAGAATTGTTGGTATTTGTTGGAAAAGAAGGTATAGCCTTCAAAGACCTTCAAAGACCTTCAAAGTGTCCCAAAGGTTGTTGTGTATTAATATATGAGAAGGTAGCCTTCAATGTGCCCCAGGTGTTGTTGTAATATAAGGTCTTAAAACTGCTTTGGAGAGTCTTCAGTAGAGTTTACTTCTAGATTGGAAGAGTTTCAGTTTGCATGAGACATGCTTATATGTGTGCTCACACTAACTAGTGTAACAACCCGCCTTCGCTGTGTCACGCTATCAACCATCGTCTTCACATGGGGGGTTGATTCCCTAGTGTCCCAACTCCTCAGGAGGTGGTTAGACCATGTTAGACCCCCAACACCGAACCTGGCCCACCGAACCTGGGGATAGGATGAGTCAATGAGTCTACCAGCCGAACCGCCCCCAGGTCTGTGGCACCTGTGGGATCCTTTACGACTCCGTGGTGCCTCGCTTCGAGGATTCCAAGGTGCGGCCGAGACCGGTGGAATGGTGCGAAAGGAAGGGAAGGAAGGGGAAAGAAGGGAAGGGTTAGCTGTGATAGGATGACTAATCCACACTGGTCACCATCCATAACTAAGGGTGTGGATGTGGCATAGATTGTTTGAGGTCTTTTTTGGGTGATGACATCTGAGTAATCCAGACTGGTCATAGTCCATAACTTAGGGTGTGAAGGTCGTAGCAGATGTTTATTTTTGTTTTATGGCCATGAGGTGGCTGGGTCGTTCGGTTAAGTTGTTGTTATGGACATATTGTTGAAGGATGACATGCACAAAACGAGAAGCATGTTCTTTAGACCACAAACCAAACGCAAGGCCATGAGCTGCCTTTTCTGTTCAAAAGCCAAAAAGCGTGGCAGCGCTCTGGGTGGGGGCGCGTTCGATCGCCATATCGTCGAGAGCTGTTCACTTCGAGGAAGCGTTTTTTCTGGAAAGGGAAGCAGCTTGTTTGATCAGGTTATGAGCCCAAGGTCACGTTGATCTTGGCAGGATCGAAGGTCCGATGGCCTTTCAGCAGAGGCGAAGGAAGGCCACTAAAGCTGAAATGGAACAAGGACAAAAAGAGATGGAAGCTGCCCACAAGCGGCTCGAGCAGCAGCGCCTGGAAGGTGATGAACTCCCTCTAGAAGACCTAAAGGAGGGGGGAAAGGGTGGTGAAAGGACAACTGGCCTAGGAAGTTCCCATAGAAGCGAACTCCAAGTCCAGGGGACACCATCGACGTCAGCCCCAGGAGCCAACGAAGACAGTCGAACTCGTGCATCGGCTTCCACCTCGACCGCCAAGACCCCACAGCCGACTGTGAGGACTCCGCAGCAGGTTCCGATGGCCAAGACCCCCGTGCGACCACAGCAGGGTGTTCAAGAAGAGCCAAAGGAAGCTGAAAGAAAAGAAGAAGCAGAAGGCCTAAGGACGCCAGAAGATCGCATGGTGAGGCCTGGTCCGTCGCCAAATGAAGGAAAAGGTGGGAAAGGAAAAAAGGGGGTTGAAGAAGACTTCATGGGAGGCCATGAACACCTAGTTGTTTCGATGGCAACACCACCAGAAGAACAGTTGCCCCTCTTTTCACGAGAACAGATCGCTGGCCTACATGCCATGTACGAACAAGCCCCATTGCTCTACCCCAAGTTCCAAACACCTCAATCCGTGTTGCGGCCTCCATTTCTCGAAGAAGCAAAGGAAGAGGACCGAAGGTTTGGGTTTGAGCCAGGGGGAAAAGGATTGCAGGGCTTTGAAGAAAGAATGAAAGAAAGGGAAGAAAAAGATGAGATGGTGAAGCAAATGCAACTCCTCATGAAGGAGAACCAAAGGCTCAGGGATCAAACCCTGGGCATCCTAGCAGCAGAAAGAAGGAAAGAAGAAAGAGAAACCCTCAACGCTCGACAACTTCAGGTGATCGTTGAAGAAAATCGGGCATTGAAGAACCAAGTGCATCGCCTCTCCTACCAGTTGGAGAACAAAGATGAAGAAGTGGTTTTTGCCACGCCAAACGGCAGCTCAGGACTGGAAGAAGATCTTCGAGGAGAAGCTGCAAGGACTGAAGCAAAAGAGGAAGAAGAGATGGAAGACATTCCAAAGGGAAGAACAGGGAAGGGAACTGGAGGAAGGAAGAAAGAAGAATCCTCTGGTGAAGCCATCCCACCACAAACGATTGATGTCATCCTGCGTCTCATGCAGGGTATGCAGGACATCCAGAAGAAGCTGGTGAAAAGTCACTTGAAGGAAGATGGAAATGAAGAAGCTGGAGGACCGCCTGAAGTCGTCCAACGAAGCGCCGACCTTCCAAAGCTGGCTGAATGGTCCCCGGAGACTGGTCCGATTGACTTCTCGGATTGGTTGTTGGTCATCCAACCTCTCATGGGTGATCTAAGCAGCAGCTCCGAAGAATGGTGGCAAGCTACAGTGGAGGCAGCGAAGTCTTGGTACATGTCACATATGGGAAAGACCCCATTGGAAAGGCTCCAACACCATCCAACTCCTCCACCTATGCTGACTCAGAAGAAATGGGCTCGCCTGGAACGACGAGCCGCATCCCTTTTGCTCGCTGCGATACCTGAAGGTCTTCGAGAAGAAGTGGTGTCTTCAAGGTCGCTGAGCACCCTTGGAATCCTCACCAAAGGCATGATACAGTATCAGCCTGGGGGGCTAGCGGAAAGTCCGCTATCTTGGCTGCCCTTGAAGGGCCCCAAGAAGCACAAAGCATTGCAAGTGGGGTCACAACCCTCAGAAGGTGGCTCCGCTGGAAAAGACGAGCAGAAGATCTGGGAGTCTCAATTCCAGATGCTACAATCCTGGTCAGGGGACTAGGAAAACTGATGAAGAAGTTGAGTGCCACCTATGCGGACTTGAACTTCCGGTTGCAGTTGACCAGAAACCAACTGATGGTGGACACGATTCCAACCCAAGAATCTGTCACAAAGTACTCGCACCACTTGTTGGCTGAATTGGAGACCATGGGCCATCAAGCAAAAAAGAAGGAGGTGACAACCGAACCTCCAAAGCTGAAGAAGTTTGAAGAGCAGCCAAAAGATCAAGGTACAAAAGACAACAAGGAGATTGGGAACAAAGAGAAAAGCAAGTGCCGCTTCTACCTCTCCGACAGTGTTGCAAGCGAGGCAAAGGATGTACGTTTTCCCATGATCAAAAAGATGAGAAGAGAAGATGCTGGAATTGTGGCGGCACTGACCACATGTCTCCAGCATGCACAAGGCCTAAAGAAGGAAAAGAAGGTCCAAAGCCAAGGATCGCAAAAGCAGAAAAAGGAAAAGATGGAAAAGAAGAAGTAAAAGAACAAGAAGAAGCAAGTGGATCGGTGCAGCCAAGCGTGAAGGACTTGCTGGAAGAAGCAAACAAGATGTTGAAGTCGTTGAACTCGTCTCCCTCGTCCTCCACTTCGTCTCCCACCGCTCAGGAAGGAGAAGAAAGAGAAGAAGTCATGGAGAGATTGCAAAAGCAGCTCAACGCACTTCGCCAAAAGGCATTCCGCCTGATGAGATTGAAAAGGGGAGAGAAGGCTGGGTTGCTGGACAGTGGAGCTACACATCCGCTCCGACCCATCAAAAGGGGCGAAAACAAGGAGCTCTACGAGAAAGTCCAAGTTGCTCTTGCCGATGGCCAAACCACCTGGCTCCCCATAACTCCAGGGGGAGTGATGATCACTGAAGACCAAGACATCGAGCCGATCATCCCGATGGGACAACTAACGAAGCAGTTGGACTGCAAGGTCACCTGGTCTCGAGGAAGCTTGGAAGTGATCCATCCAGTCCACGGAAAGCTCCCAGTTGATGATTGTGAAGGGTGTCCACAAGTTCCGAAGAAGGTGGCCATCCAGCTCATTGACGAGCTAGAACAAGTCAAAAAGGGGATGAAGTTCAAGGAGGTGGAAGAATTTGAAGGAGAAATGAAATGGATGAAGGAGCTGGTCGAGAAGCATCCAGTTTTGGCATCTCTCCCAGAAGAAATCAAAAAGGAGCTTGTCGTGATGCCTTCAGAAGGATGTCGACTGCCAGCCAACAGAAGAAAAAGAAAAAGAATGAAAAGAGATGGCTTCATTGTCCATCTATATGCAGGTCCCGAAGAAGGCTTCACCCTCAGTCGTGCGTGGCAGCAGATCGGAGGAAAGGAGGTTGAGTTGCTTGAAGTTGACCTACAACGAGGTCCGGAGCACAATATGCTGAAGTCCAATGGGGTGTACCCAGCACTCCTCAAAGCCGTTCTGTCTGGACAGGTTCGAGGTCTGGTCGGAGGACCCAACTGCAGGACAAGGTCAGTTCTTCGACATGTTCCAGTCCCTGGACCTGATCCACCACGTCCGATCCGAAGATGGGGAGGAGAAGAGTTCGGGATAAAGGAAGCCACGCAAGAAGAGAAACAGAAACTCTGGGAAGATGACGTGCTGCTCTGGCGAATGGTGTTTCTGGGAATGGTCGCCTCACATCTTCGAAAAGCGAGAAGGGAACCAGATCCTTTCGTCTTCTCTCTTGAGCAGCCGGCATCACCAAAGGAGTACAAACCAGAAGTGGTGTCGTTTTGGGACACGCCGCAGTGGACTTCGCTGAAAGAAGAATTTGAGTGGGAAGAAACAACATTCTCACAAAGACCTCTTGGAGGAGCAGCCACAAAGCCAACGACTTTTGGAGGAAATCTACAACTGACACCCGAAGATCATGTCCTCAAGTCCATGGACGATCGACAGGTCACCCACTCATGGCAGTTGGCCCGATGGCCTCCAGGATTGATGAACATGGTCGCAACAGCCCTGTTGGCTCAGGCATTTCACCAGCAGCCGAAGCTGAAGGCTCTATCCTGGGAGGAACACTTGGCATTTGGGCATACGCCATCAAGAAGAGACTGCAGAACATGTCAAGAAAACATGCAGCAGTGCAATCCTCACCGTCGGGTTCAACATCCACTGGCTGGAGTCCTTTCGTTGGACACTGCAGGACCCTTGACACCTGCAACTGACCAAGGAGGACAATTGTCCAGATACTTTTTGGCTGGCGCTTTCACTTGGGCCATTCCAAAGGGATCAAACAGAACCACGGAGGAGGAACCAGAAGAAGAAGAAGGTGAAGAAGAACTGCCAATGATTGAGGCAGAAAGGGAAGAGGAAGAAGATAAAGAAAAAGATGAAGAATCAGGTGAGGTCCAAGAAGATCGAGAGATCCCAGGAGGACACCGAGAAACGATCTCGGATGCAGAAGAAAGAGAAGGAAGGGAGGTGGGTCACCTACAGGAGGAGCTGAGTCCAGGGGGAGATGAAGCGATCCCAACGAAAGATTCCAATCCTCCAAGAGGCTTCGAAATCAAGACATTCCACCTCGCACTCCCTATGCTCACTAAAAAGTCCATGGAAGTCACCAAGGCCACTATGGAAATGGTGTTGAGGTTGAGGATAGACGGATACACCGTCAATCGGATACACACCGATCAAGGCCATGAATTTTCAGGCCATTTTGCAGCCTACTGCAGGAAGCGGGGAATCATGCTGACCAAAACTGCAGGAGACGAACCCCAGGCCAACGGCCGTGCAGAATCCACGGTGAAACGAGTGAAAACGATGGTGCGGAAGGCATTACACCAAGCTGAAAAAGATGCAAGGTGGTGGCCATGGGCGACAAGGTACATCAACGAGATCCTCCTGCCATCGGATCTACGAAGTTCCATCCTTTCCGATGTTTATGGAAAAGATCCTGGTAAGGAAACGACGCTGGCAGAGGGATGATCTGGGACCAACTATGGAAGAAGTGTGCTATCTCGGACCATCCACCGAGAACCACGGTCACTGGATCGTGAAGGAAGGCGAACGTCCAAGACTCACCCGATGTGTCATGAAGAAGGTGGACAAAAGGCCTACAGAGGGACAGTGGATCGCCCTCGAACGTGAACTCTTGGACGGCCTCACCCTCAGAAGAAGGCTGAGGGAGAAGACCACAATAAGGAAAATACAAAAGGAGGTGGAAAGTGAGGAGGAAAAAGAACAGAAAGAAAAGATGAGGGTGAAAAGGGTCGTGGAGGAAGAAATGCTCAAGATCCATGAAGACGACCCTGACCTCGCAGTTTGCTCAATCCTCATTTTGGGGAAGCTCAAGAAGATCTTAGAAGAAGGAGTGGAGGAAGAAGAAGAAATCCTCCAGACGAAGATCGTCTCGCCAAAAGAAGTGGCGAAGGAATGGAAGAAATGGATTCCATCGGCTGAGGACGAAGTGCATTCCCTGCTCACGGAGAAACAAGCACTTCTTCCACTCTCAGCTCAAAAGCTCACGGACTTCATGGAAGAGGCCAAAAGAAGAGGAGTGAAGGTCGAACTCATTCCTTCAAAGTTGGTGTTCGCCAGAAAACCTGGCAAAAATGGTGGAAAGCTCAAGGTCCGCTGGGTGATCTGTGGAAACTTTGAGTCCAAACAGCCTGAGGAAACCAACTACTCAGGTGGTGCTGATGCCTCAGCATTCCGAATCATGATCCTACTGGCGGCGAGACACCAGTGGGAAGGCACAAGTCTTGATGTGAAAACAGCTTTCTTGAACGCTGAGATGACGTTCAAGGATGATGAACACTTGATGCTCGTCCTTCCACCCACGTTCTTTGTGGAACGAGGCTTCATGGAAAAAGACACCTACTACCTCCCACAGAAGGCGGTATATGGGCTAAGAAGGTCTCCACGCCTATGGGGTGAACATCGTGATGAAGCGATGAGGAAGTTCGAGATCAAGGTCCAAGAAGAAGGAAAAGACAAGAAGATGAAGTTGAAAGCCCTGGACTCGGAGCCCAACCTGTGGAAAGTGGTCTTCGAAGAAGATGAAAGTGAAGAAATGAAAGGCCTAGTGATGACCTACGTCGACGACCTGTTCATCGTGGGACCGCAAGAAATCACAAAGGCCATTCGTGAACATGTTCAGAAGACCTGGACCACTTCAAGTCCACAAGATGTCTCCAAAGTACCAATCAAGTTCCTGGGCATGGAAGTGTCGAAAGAATGGGATCACCAAGCTGAAAGATTCGCCTGGTTCATCTCCCAGTCATCCTATGTGGAAGACTTGCTGAGCACAGGAGAGGAGAAGCTGAAAGCCAGGAAGATTCCGATGACACGAGACCAAGCCTCGATGGATCCAATGGAAGAAATGCCATCACAGGCACAAATCCGCTCAGCCCAAAAGGTGGTGGGTGAACTCTTGTGGCTGGTCACCAGGACTCGACCAGATCTGATGTTTTCAGTGTCCAGAATGGGGGCCAACGTCCTGAAGAGCCCACAAGCTGTCGTTGAAGCAGGAATCCAAGCCAAAGGATATCTACAGGGAACGAAGACCCTCGGCCTCAAGTATCTCTTGAGAGAAGATGAGGATTTGGTGCTCAACGTCTTCACTGACGCATCATATGCTCCAAATGCCGAGGAATCCCATGGATGCTGCATTGTGGTGGTTGGCTCATGCCCCATTTTCTGGAAATCAGGTCGCCAAAGTACAGTAACGTTGTCCACAGCAGAAGCCGAACTCACTGAAGTGGTGGAAGGAATGATTGCCGGGGAGTCAATCTCGGTGATCCTCGACGAACTGGTGGGAAGGCTTCCAAGAATGGCCTGGACCGACAGCCAGTCAGGTCTCTCAATCCTGACATCAGAAGGAGGGTCATGGAGGACACGACACCTTCGTCTTCGCTCAGCCTACACTCGCCAATGCCTTCAAGAGGGATTGTGGGGAATAGCTCACGTTCCAGGCGAGGACATGCTGGCAGACATCGGGACGAAACCTCTCACAGGACCCCGATTAGAAGACCTCAAGAAGAAGATGAACATGGCCAAGACGGCGAAAGAAGAAGAAAAGAAAGAAGAGAAGGACGTGAAACCAAATGAAGAAAAGGAGAAAGGTGAGGCAAAGAAAGGAGAAGAAGAGGATGAAAGAGAAGCTGAAGAGTAAATGCAAATGAAGAAGGCCAAGACAGCTGCGATTTTGCGAGTGCTTCTCATTGCAGCGTCTCTCACGGCCACCAAAGCACAAGGAGAAGATGAAAAGGAGGAAGAAGCCATGGGCATTTCCTTTGAAATGATCGTGATGATCTACACCATGGGCGTGATCCTCATCACGATGATCGTCTGGTGGGTTGCGAAGGAAGGAGTACCGGGCCTGTGGTACCCTTCAAGGGGAAGATCCACACACTCAAGAAGTCTTCCCGCAACCCCACCAAGGACACCAAGAAAGATGAAAGCCTTGAAGATCAAAGAAGGAGAAGGAAGAAGTCCACCACGGACACCAGAAGTATCAAGGCCAAGTGGCCTACCAGAAGAAATCCCAATGACGCCTCCACTCACGGCGAACAAGATGGGATCAAAAGGAAAAGAAGAAAAGGTCGTCAAGGTCGACGGAACCCCATATAAAGTTCCAAAGGGGTGGACACCACCACCTGATTGGATGGAGCTCTCAAAAGAAGAGGAGGAAGAAGAGGAAGAAGTCAGAAGATCCTTGGAGTTTCGCAAAAGAATCCAAGAAATGGAACAAGAAGAAGAACAAAACCCAACGGCATCCAGCTCAACACATGCTGGAGCACAAGGAGGAACACCGGCTGGAGGAAATAGACTCCAAGCCACACCAAAGTCCGGAGAAAGGGTGCCCTTCATTACACCCACGATGTACACGCCTCCTGTCCTGACAACAAGGTTTGGAAAGGCATTTCACTGCCGAGAGTCTTGTGACTACTTGGTGGCGCCAAGGACAGGAATGGTGAAGAAGTCTCCCTGGTGCCCCGACTGCACCAGGAGCATCGGAAGAAGAACGAATTGGAACATGTGGTCCAATTCATGGGGTGGAGAAATTCATCCCAACAAGGCATGCAAGAGGCTCCGCTCAGAGCCGCTGCTGCGGTACACACCGTGCACTCGATGCACGCCCTATGAAGGATGAAGAAAATGAAAAGGTGGTTTGAGCCTGGAAGGCTCAGATTTTGAAGAAGAAAGAAAAGCTCTGGATCATCGGAGCCTAGCGACCCGATGAAGGGGGAGTGTTGAAGGATGACATGCACAAAACGAGAAGCATGTTCTTTTAGACCACAAACCAAACGCAAGGCCATGAGCTGCCTTTTCTGTTCAAAAGCCAAAAAGCGTGGCAGCGCTCTGGGTGGGGGCGCGTTCGATCGCCATATCGTCGAGAGCTGTTCACTTCGAGGAAGCGTTTTTTCTGGAAAGGGAAGCAGCTTGTTTGATCAGTTATGGACATATTATTGAGATGAAAACACATGTTTGTGGTCCAAAAACCTACACCTGAATGACTTCTTTGTTGGACTACCAACCACCTAAAGTGCCCAACACATTGCTCATTTGAGGTCTGTGTTAAAGTGCCTACCACTCAAATTACCTCTTTGAGTTCCACTTTGCCTTGATGTCGTGCGAACATGCATGTGCTGAGGCTCAGACGATTTTTTCTTACTACCGGGACACCCCAAATCGATCAGTGAAGCTCCGGTCTTCATTCAGGACGCCTAGAGTGGCAGATGGACCGGCAGATCAACGGCAGATCAGTCGAGGCGGGCCGGTCAGTACGGATTCAGAGCCGTGCCACCGCACCATCGAAGGAAGTCGAACGAAGCGGACGTGGGTCTGGTGACAGGAAGTGGGCTAGAGGTTGGGCTAGAGGTTGGGGTGCTACAGTTTTGTGGATTTGGTTTTGGTAGGCCCTATAACATGTGTTCTCCTCGCTCTTGGAACTTAGCCTCTTTTTCCACATTGTTTTGGGTCGTGGACTTGGTAGATGATTCACATGAACCCGGAACCTGCTGATTATCCGGTGTGCCGTTGCAAAGTGGATTGCGGAAAAAAGCGACGTGGACACCGAAGATTGGCATTAGACAAGGACTCGATGCATGGTGTAAGATTCCGATGCCAGCGGTTTGAGGGGCGACGGACTTGGAGGGCAGGGGTGCCCCTGTCACATCCACTCACTGGATGGGGTATAAGGAAGGATCTAAGGGATGGTCGCTTCCTTATGGTCCTTGAGTCACTGGATGGTCCCTGTTGATGGGGCTTTAAAAAGAAGAAACATCAACTCCTTTGAAGGTTACTGTTTGAAGAAAGAATCTTCTCCTGGAGACTTATTGGAGCGATTCTAGGTTCAACGGAGCGACTCCCAATTGACGTCACCATGGTCTTCTTTCAACCAGTCGTGATTTCACGGGGGAACCCTCCGGAACCTTCGACGAAGAAGGAGCTCGGAATCCGAAGGTTTCCTTCCACGTTCTTTTCACCAGCAAACCAAGATCTTGGTTTTCCAGAAAAGACATCCTCTCTCTTCCCTTCCAAAGATTCACCAGTCGAGGGCAGGGGCGTGAAACCAAGTCGACGCCCACACCGGGTGGCCGGTCTTGGTGGTCCCAGCCGAAGAGGTGACGCCCAGCAGAGACGGCGGTTGGCGTCGACCCAAAAAGGGGCGGTGACCAGTCAAGCGTGCGTCTGGGCATGGGTGGGGACGGCTGGGTGAATAGGGGTGCACGGAAAGCCACTGAAGGTTTGATATAGTATATATGTACACAGTCCTTGGCCACCAGTGATTCATTTATACGCACTGCATACGCACTGCATACGTGTGCATGTGTGAATAGTTAGGGATTTTAGACACATTTTGGACAACAACATCAGGTTTAATATGGTTTCACCCAGAGCATCCAGTTACCACGATGTCGCTGGTAACCAGTTGTTCCATAGGGATAGAAACCATAGACCGACCTAGAAACCCTGGTTCCATATATAGTGGGTATCCTTCCGGGTGGAGGGCGGACTCTTCACGGTCGTCTTGGGCTTCTTCGAACGGAATTCGTGGATGTTGGAGGGCCAGACCTTCACGGGTAGAACTCCCCCGGGTAGAACTAGGTGGTGCATCCAATCCAGAGGAGCTGATTCATCAGCACCTATAAAGGGCCAGGGGTGGGCACTTAAGAATGCTTGTGGGTCAAATGCAATTAGGATAAATTAGGCAAATTATGTAATATACAATTTATAGTATATTACATTCCATAAGGATTGTTGGGGTAAACCCGAACCCCCTTTTTTTCCTGTTCACTTCTTTGGGTCCCTGGAAAGGAACCTCGGAATTTTTGGAATTGAAGCATTACAGGAGCGGTTCTACGCACAAGTCTCACAAGCAAGTCTGACCGTCGCCAACATCAAAGGTCTCTATCACAACATGTGAACATGTGTAGTAAACCACTCCAACTGATCGGCATATATGGCATACATGGAGTGTCTGGGGTATAGACTGTTTCGAGTCGTTTGTATGTCATTTAGATCATTTCATCAACAACGTGGGATCGACTCAACTGTTGCACTGCACCGGTCGCAGGAGCCCCCGCGAGGCGGTCGTACCGGGACCGCCGGTGGTCTCCGGTTTGCATCCGGCCAGCGCCCGAACGGAGCGCCGGGAGCACCGCGAGCCGCGCTCTGCTCCGGAGGCTCCGCGGTTGTGGGGGGCGGGCAGGTGCTGGGATGAACAGATGCATGAAGTCATAAATAATGTTGGTGCTTGTAAAGGATAGCAACCTGGAAACATCCATGGCTGATGTATTTCTGCCCAGTCCCCACTGAGTCAGCGGATGTCACCGGTAGTCGTTCAGTACAGTGGTTCAGAGGTCGTGGCGGTGAAGGTGTGGCCACCGTGTGTATTGGCAAGGGGAGAAGAAAAGAGAATGCAAAGACGAGATGCTTGAAACCCAACAAAACCCCAGTGGAAGGGCTGCAAGTTGACAGCCAAGAATTCTTGGCCGCAAAACTGGAGTTGGCAGCGTGAATAAGCAAGCAGAAGGTGTGGGTGTATATGGACCTGACTTGAAGTCGCAGCATTCGCAGTGCCTCGAGGATCCAGTTGTAGCCTAGCTCACGGCTGTGTGAGCGTCTTGGATTGATTGACCTCCAGAAGCAGTAGTATCCACCAGCAGTCACAAAGGTGTGCGATCCATAATCCATGGAGGTTAGGGGTGCCCTGTCACATCCACTCACTGGATGGGACGAGGCACACCACCCCGACATGTGACTCCTGGCAGAGATTTGACCAGTCGTACCCAACCCTCAGGTTCGTTACGAAAACGAACCCGACTGGTACCGGCCAGCAGGCCTCAGTGGAGACAACACAAAATCACCATATACCTCAAAGAGGGTGGCAGTGCATCCCTTGGGAGTGTGTACTGTACCCAGACGCTCCATGGGACTGGCATCATATTTACCTACATTGGGGTGGTTGACCAGGGGTCAATGTAGGCGGCTTGTATGCCATACATGGAGTGTCTGGGGTAGTATCTGGAGATCTGACCAGTTCATTAACCCAGACACTCCATGGGCCTGCCATATATACCTACATTGACCCCTGAAACCACCCCTGGCCTGATCGGCAGTCCTATGGCAGTCCCATGGGTCGCGTCTGGATAATGACATCCAACTCCTCGAGAAGGTGGTCCATGCCACGCCATGGCCCCCTTCCCGTTGGATAGGAATTCCTTCGAGCTCGCGACGGTCGATCGGTGTCACCTTGGTGTCAATCGCCAACCAACAGCAACTCCGTTTCGGTGTTGAGCTTATTTGCGATGTCATGGGTGCAAAGAACGAATGTGTCTGGAACGAAAGATCTTCACCAAGCTCAGCCCCATGTGGACCGGACGGTGACCAGTCCAACGACCATTTTAGCGCCTTGTTGTGATGCGAACGAGGATGCTTGGGAAAGTCTGTGACTCCTGGCTTTTCCAATTGAGCAGCGTCAACATCCTCAAGACGGGAATTTAGATGAGGTTCAGTGGAACATTTGGACCAGTGTCATTAGAACATATTGTCCATTTGATGAGGTTCACTGATACCTTTAGAAACTGAGTTCTTGACACAGCTCATTTGCTCGGTTTCGTTCTCCAGGCATCCACGTGCACCTTTGAAGAACATCGAACGATCGATAGCAACTGACCCCGAGATCGATCCCGCTAGAACCGGTCGGTGGATTTGTCCACCCATTTTGTCACTGAAGAGAAAGAGGATAGCAGAGTTGTGCATTTTGGTAGATATGTTTGAGGCCTATCATATTTCTATCATCTCTCTCTAGTAATATACACACTACGCTCTCACCTCAGGTCACAAGCCTCCATAAATCCAAGAGATTCAACCCAGAAGTCGCTCCCAAGCCTTGGTAGGTTGACCTTGCGGGGAGTCTATTCTGTTAATTTTCCGTGGTCAACTGGTCAACCGTCCCCCCACAGCAATATACAATACGAATTACTCCCTTGAAGAACTTCTTTCCCACATTTTCTGACAAATTACAGTAATGGGTTGAATACCAAACAACCGGGCTCTTCTACTGAGGATTTAGACTACAACACCACGTCAATCGAACTCTTTGAATGGTCTTTGAAGGCTAGGGTACTATCATTGAACCATTTGGGACACTTTTAATGCCAATGTTGATGGTATTCGTCCCGGCATCTCATTGATCTCAAATAATTCAAGAGAGCAATGATGAATATTGATCAATATCATGCCTCATTGATGGCTTTGCGGCGTTTGTGACCTGCCCCTTTCGAGACCCTCGGAGACCTGTAGGACCCCCCTGCTGTCGAGGCAGGACCGGGTGGGGTGGGGCGGAGGAAGAAACAATTCGATCAGGAACATGCCGGCCGCTCCGCTCACGCTCACGTTCATCATCCTAGACTGGGGTTGGCGGATTTTGGTGCTGGTTCACTTTGTGGCTGTGTGGACTTGACTGATCCGGCTAGTACTTGCTGGATGTTGTCATCCATGTGAATGCCAACTTGCCCTCACGAGCCCCAGTGACACAAGAAGAGAGCCTAATTATTATTCTAAATATAGCTTCTATTAGCTTCTGCTTTGACCTTTGGCACTGAATAAGCACACAGTTTGCAATGGTGAGTTCATGTGATTGCACCCGCAGGTGATGATGAGGAAATCATGTTATTCAAAGTTGCACGGGGCAAACGGCTGGACAAACAAGGCGTGCTAAGCTAACCGCCTTCAGCTAAAGACTCAGAAGCTAGTGGAAGTGGTGCTCCAGCTTCAAGTGGTGTTGCTGGCACGCCTGTGCATGGAAGTGAGTGGCAACAGGTGCATGGCCAAAAGCAACCAAGTGATCCTCCTGTGAAACGTGGCTCTGATTCCAACCAAGCTCCAGCAAAGAGAGCTCGACATGGTTGGTTTGAGAAATGTGCCAAATCTTCTTGTTGTGGCTTATAAGCGGAAGGACATCCCTCCACTTTTGTCTTCATTTGCTGGCATCGGAATTCAAGCCCTCCATCTTCAGAGCTGTTCTATACTCTTGATGGTCTTGCCAACCCTGCGGGTGGTACCACGAAGCCTGATGCTGTGCGCACTGCTGTCGCTTGGGGTTGCTGATCTCACCTGATTCGACGGTCACTGTGACGATGCGGACCTGGGACCCTACAGCTCGAGGCGACCTCTACTGACTACTGACCTTGCTGAGGCCTTGCTGACCCTGCCGTGACGGC